ACGTGTTGGCTGTGCTTTGGAGAAATGCATTGCTATGAAGAAGCCACCAGTTTACTATGATATTATTGATCTCATTGAAAATGAGAAGTAGGAATATTTTGTGTGGGTATAATTTTGTCGTGTTTTAAGTTTAAAATTCCTTTTCTGCTTATATTGATCTTATTTTTGATGTAATTATGTTAATGTGTGCTCTATAGTAAATTTTATAACTTGGGCGTGTCAGCAAAGAAGCTCCTTTGTTCTCAAATCTTAAATCTCATCTAAAATGTTCTTCAAAATTTTAACTATCATCACCTCAATCTTCATATACACTGTTGCCTCTGGTGAGTCTTTTGACCTAGTTCCTTAAATGCTTTTTGCCAAGAATATGACATGTAAATAATAGTGTATCTATCACTAGATATAATTATATTTAAAAAATAGTTGTATTGACATTTTGTATTTGCATTTTCAACTTGAGTTGCAATATACTACTTATTGTAAGTTTGCAGGTTAACTGTCAGTTAATATTCCAATTATCTAAAAGTTACAGTTTTTGAGATGCAGACAATAGAGCTTTTACCACCAATAGCTAACGGCTACTGTAGTTCAAACACTGTGAATAATTGTGTAACCACTCATCATCTCTCTTGTAATTAAGACCACCTTTTTCCAGATCTGGACTACTATACTGACCAGCACCATAGATTACATTATATGCATTATGTATCGAACACTTCAATGGGAATATAGATATTGTCTTGTAATACAGTTCTATCTTTATTACACTACAATAGTGAGCCAAAACTATGTGAAGTGGGCCAAACCATATGCACAGAGAGTATAGTATTTATGTAAATATTAGTATAGTATATTTTGGGCATAGTATTCCAAAACAACAGAAAGAAAGTGACAATAGCCATAATAATCATAATAATAATCACAACAAGAATAGTTATAATAACAACAGAAAATTATGATAACAAATAATCTAACAATATAGCGACACATGCAAATGCAATTTTGTTAGAGTTTTGTAAAATTTATATTGCATATATGTATATAAATTTTGTAGTTTGTACACTGTGTATTAGTTGTGATTGTTTAGAGGAAGGTCACCAGCAATGGGATGTTAAGTTGGACCCACTGAAGTTATATGACAGGGAAAACTGGATACCAATTTGTTTTGAGAATTTAGCTGTAGCTCATGTTGCATGTCGACAACAAGGATTCACTAATGCTTCTGGACTATTCAAGCAATCGTAAATTACTTTACAATTTAATTCTAACTATATTGTTCTTTTAGTACAATAAGATTCGGTGAGGTATATGTAGTTACTTGCCCAACAGTTTCAAATTACTTTTTGTATGGTGAAACGAACATTATGCGCTGTAACATCTCACATCAAGTGGCATCTAATTGTACAACTGCATCAGTTAACTGTAGTAGTAAGTTTTTTATGAGAGTGAGTGATTTTACATGTATGCATACCTACTCTAATGCTGCATAGTGATACGTTATTAAAATTTTAACATACATGTAATAATGACACTGTGCTATGACTGATGCACCTATTTGTAATAATGTTAAATGTTGCATTATTGTAACAGATAAAGATTTGCAGGAAATTAATCCTTATAATGGTCAAGTACATCTTACTGATAAGAGCCACACCACTGCTACACCAGCTGATGGTACAGTTGAAGTTTATCTTCATAATGGCTGGTATCAAGTGTGTAATAATACAGCCTTCACTAATACAGTAGCTGATTCAATATGTAGACAGTATGGATACACAGGACATGATACTCGGAATGAAATAAATATTTAGTAAGTTCTATCAGGAGCTCCTGGTTCTATAATATGACTCACTTGACTCATTTTTAATAGTTCTTCAAATACTGTTACATTCACAGAATACAATTGTACTAATAAAACTGGTTCTTTTGAATGTTTTACCCACTGTATGCCAAGGAAGTATAAGATTAATGATAAATGTCACCATCATGTGACATTAACATGTAGTAAGTGAATTTTAAATATGTGTAACTATGGATGTATGTGATTGGCCACATGAGACTAGTATGTGATTTATAAAACATTTGTGCTACTTATAACGAGTGTACAACAAGGAAGAAATTTGAAAGTTTGATAGCAATTTTTTCAATCATTATAGGAATGTACCAATAAAATTTTAACTAAAAATCTTGTACTTTGCATGCCGGAAAAATAACATGTACATGCATGTGCTGACAAGAAGTCATTGCTAAGCTAAAAATAATTATTGGCCTCGCCCAGCTTTTTATAGGCAAGGACTAAGTACTCAATTTTTTCAGTATATTAGGCAAAATTTTTGACTGAAAACCTAGTACAGTAAGTAGGCCCACCATGCTTTTTTGCTAACAAAACGTTTTAAATTTTTTAGATGTTTGATATGAAAGGTTTTCATATTCATAAGAGTTTTAGCCAATCATGTTACAAGTTTTTGAGCTAGCATTCTATGTAAAATTTTACATTACAATAATGGTTGATTTGATAATGCATATTGACTTTGCTGTAAATATCAGTACTCATTATGGCTATAAAAGGAGGGTTAAAATTTTAAAATATTTGATGATTGGTGGGTTTTAATTTTGGTGGAGTTTAATTTGTGGCCTTGTGCCATTGAGCATGTGCATAACAGTTCGTACATTTATGTAGAGTTTGATATGACTAAGGAGTATATAACAAGTGGATCTCGAAGTCAATGTGCTTTGGATGAACGTAGTCATTGTGCTTTGGATGAACGCAGTCATTTACTTCAAGCTTGTAAAAACAAAAAAATATTGTTGTCAATTTGTTAATCATATTAATGTAATTCTATTTTTTAGACAAAATTATTACAGGACTTCTCGCTGGTTTTCTACTTTTTATCCTAGCATTATTTATCATCACGTTTCTATTTTGTGATATAAAGACTAAAAAGATGAAATGCTGTTGCTACTGGAGGAAACAAGACGCTCTTAATTATGTTCATATCAAATACAGAGTAAATGACCTGCCTAGAAATAATTAAATCCAATAAATGCCAGCCAAGTACATGAGCATTAATAGCAAAACATTATCTGTTATAACACATTACTTCAGAGTTAATAACACACTTCAGTGGGAATTTATAATTATATAGATCTATACTATTTTATACTTTGCATAGGATATAAAATTATTTTTATGGATTTAAAAAGATTATTATTACAAATTATGACGTCATGCGACAGGCTAGCTAGCTAGCTATCTGAAGTTGAGAATGGTAAATAACAGAAAGGGAGATGGTCCCAAGAAGCCCAAGGCAGAAAGCAAACCAGGAAAGATACGAAAGAGTACTTAAGAGTGTACACTGCGATATATAATTTTGATTATTAATAGATAAACCTACTAAAACTAATAAGAAAAGACTACTTACTGCTTTATGTCTCACAAAACATGTCAACAATTCAAGGTCACCTTCTTTGCATAATGAGGTATATATTTTGTAACTTGACATTTTATCAGCATTTGATTATCGAGCAGAAAGAAATGTCAGTTCGTATCCTATCATCTTCGCCAGAGCAGGCTTGTGCTATTGCTGAAACAACTTTTGAGGGATCATTTATTATCACTGATGTATCTGGCATGAAGCACCTATCTCTTAACCATTCCATTGCCACTAGTAGTCCTAAAACTGTATGTAGACGTAGGGTTGATGACCTTTTTCAATTTGACATAGTGAGTAATCAGTATTACACAACAGTGATAGCTATTTTTTATTTTACAGAGTCCAATTGTTGCTCAAAGCCCATTGGTATTATCTTCACCTAGTTTACAACTGAAAGTTTCTAAAAGTAATTATGTAAAAAATGCACATACATCATGCATGTACATGTACATGTCTATGAATAACAAA